ACCGCCGAAAAGCGTCCAAGGCCGCAACATCTGGCGGGCCAATGCCAAAAAAAGGAGGCAGTCGGGCGCGACCTCGTTGCTCGGCGCAACTTAAAAATAATTCGGGCCGGTTTTAAGTTATTTTTTATCGGCCGGTGTGATAAGGCGGCGAATTTGGGCGTCGATTTTGGTGAGTGCGACTGTACAAAGTGCAAGCTGCAAGCGGCGTTAGATGGAGAGAGACATCCGCCCTCCCTCTCCGGAGCACCAAAGAGTTCAATGGAAGAATTCAAGGCCAGCGCCATGCTTTTAAAAACGCGCAGCCGAATATTATGTTGCCCGTGGTCCGGGAAGGCTTCAAGGCCGCCCTGCATGGACGTGCGTGACTCCTCCGGCCGGGGCCACTTTTTTCGTCTCGGTTGGGGCAGGTCAGCCTGGAGACGGAGCGGCGCAGTCGGCGTCAAGGCGCACTCCGAATCGCAGCCCAAATCGCGCCTCTTTGGCCATTTCGGCCGCCGAGCCGATTTCGAGCGGCTCGCGGCGGCCGCGGGTGGGGGCACTTTTGAGCAAAGAAAGAGGCTCGTTTCGCTCGTTCAACGCCCTTTTATTGCGCAAATGACAAATATACATGAAATGGCCTTTTTCGCCTCTCCGGCCGAAGCTCTTCTGCTTACATCATTCAACTCAGCATTCAATATGCACATCTTCCATGTTTGGATTTGAGATTTTGAAATGTACATATTTTATAAGTACTCTCCTAATTTTGAATGTTGTGTAACATAACTGGAGTGTATAAAAGTTAAAGCAACCCTTTTTATTTTCAGGACGTCAAGATTCAACTTTTTTCTTATATAGCGTATTTAAATTTTAAATAAAAATTTTGTTTCTAAATCAATCAGTTTGAATATCACATTCTGAAGAGAGGAGAAATTTCATTTCCAGAATCCGTTAGAGCAAATTTTAATACTGCGTAGTTATTTTATTATTTTAGTAAATTTCAAACCGTCAACAAAGTTTATATGAATAAATCAAAGTCTATTAAAACTTCAAATGATGAATCAATTGAACTCTTGTTTATAAATACCGTCTTATCAGAGATGCGTGTGTTGCTGAAGCTGATAATATCATCAAATTAATATTTAGGAGGATGAGAATTAAATAATAAGTTTCAACTGGAAATGCAATTTTGGTTAAAAAAACAGACAATTACCAACTACAGTCCCAATTAAATAAGTTATAATTAGAGGAGGTTGTGAAGCCACTTCAATTTTCCTCCTGTTATGATTGCTGGTGCTACAATTTAACTATAATTTTGTTTAAAATTCAATTAAATATTGCTTTTCTGATGTTTATTCTTTTATGCTTTCATTTTAAATAATCATATCTCATTTTCGGGAAATTTTTATAAGTTTATCAAATTGGTGGTATTTATCTGTAAAAAAAGAGCTGAAGTTTTACAGATAAAAAATTTTCCCTATAATGAGGAAAATTGATTTATATACTTCGATATCAAATATCGTCCAGATAGCGCTAAAGTTGCGGAAATTTTGACAAAGGAAAGAAAATTAATTGTTTAAATAATTGCTTCATTCTTGCAACACTTTATTTTGCAATCATATGTTCGAAGTTACAAAAATTTTGCGCTGCCAGGATATAATGAATTTCCAACTTGTATTTTCAAAACTTCAAATCTAAGTTGTAATTTCTACATAGCTCTTTATTTTCAGTACAACTGCAGTACAATTACTCTTTTTTTAGCAAGCACGATGAAGCTCCACAGACAGCTATTGATAGAAATCATTCTCTCTGTTGATACAAAGCGTCAAATAAAATAAATAAAGTTTCAAAGGAAAAGTAGTAGAAATAAATCTTATTTATGTGTTTACTCAATTAATTTTTTTTACTTAATATAAAAAAGAGTGATTTTTAAATATTTGTATTTAATATTTTTAATTATTAATTAATTGTAATAATATTTTTGGCATCAACTTTGAAATTAAAAAAAAAAAAAAAAAAAAAATGCAGAATTTTTGCATTAATTTATTCAAATAAAAATTAGCATGTTTATTGCGAATTGACAATTGTCGCATGGCTTTTGTAACGCAAATCCGAAACGCCTGCAGCTTGTCTGCCGTCGCTCTTCCATAATGCATTTTTCATCCGAAAAGCCGAACACGCTCCTATTTTCGGAGTCATCGCCCTCACAAGCCGTCGTCTCTCGCGCTGGCGGAGAAAAAGAGCGGGCGCCCCTCCAAAGCCGAGTTGGTTGGCCTAGGTTGCGGCACTCACGCTACACACTCGCACACTCAAATTCGGCTGCACCACCCTGGCGTGGCGCGTTGCCTAACTGCGCAGGGGCCGTCGACCTCCTCTCCCCATCGCAGCAGCGACGGAATCGTCACCGGTGCCACCCGCAGGCCTTAAAATCGACAAAAAGTGCGAGCGGGGGCGCCTCATATCAAAAAATTTTCAGTTTGCTTCGAACAACGAGCGCGGCTCTTTGTCTCCGTTTTTTACATTATTATGCTCTGCTCACTCGCCACCTATTCGCTCGTATTATGCATGTGGTCTGTGTGTTGAATATTATTATTATTATCATCATCATCCCAGCTGCTCGCGAGCAGTGTAACAAGTTGTTATAGTTCGCGAGCGAGCGCAGGGATGAAATTGACGGCGCACAGTTCCTTGTTTTCCATTGATGGTAATTATGCGCCTCGTGTAAGACCAGAAGAAAGGTCATCGTAGTAAAGGGGGAAATCACCGCGCACGTTGTTTTCAATTCTAAAAAAAACTGTTTGACAATAAAAAGTTGTGCTTTTATTTTAATTACTTTTCAAATTTTCCAAGGACAGAGTGAACACTATTGAATAATATGAAACAATGATGCAAGCACGATTTACTTTTTCCGTGTTGAATAATTTGATTTATTTTATGCAGAAAACCTTTAGTTTCTGATTGTTTTTTTACTGTTTTAATTACTGAATATAAACTAGAAGTTGTATGTATAAATAATGTTGAACGCCCTCGGATGAGAATTTTGTTGGAATAATAAAAATTTCCAACTATCCGAATTAATGTTTCATCAAGATTTCGCTCATTGAATTGTGCAAAAAACATTTATAGTTATGATTGATTTTTTCTTTATATATTGAAATTTAAAGAAAATTATCAAAAATTAAATAAAATAATTGTAGCTTTTGCCCAAATATTAGGTAATTTTAATTTAAATTAATTAATTTGATATATAGAAGAATCTGTTTGCTGATTAATATTGATTAATTCAGGATAGTTACACTGACTTGATTATATTTTCATTTTACTAACACTGAAAAGCATAATATAAATATTTTGTCTGTATCTTTGAAAAATCTAGAAAATTTTGTAAATAAATTCCAAATTGAGTAAAATTAATGCTTGTTGGTTTAGCTAATTTATTCATTTGATGAAACTGCAAAATAATTGAATATAAAGTCTGAATGAGATCCTGGGCATTAATGAATGTGAGCATCAATTGTGCAACCACACCATCGCCCGGCTCCTCCTTTCCTCATCGTTTGGCGTCCCCAATTTTTGCGCAATCGCCAGCTTTTATTATCAGAGACAAGCTCGAAAACCGAAACTCAGTACCGGAAGCGACTGGCGCATGACTCGCCAGCTCGGCTGCGTCGCCATCAAATTTGCGACAAGCGAATTTTTGTGAAAATTGATGTACCCACAGTGCGGCACACACATTGCAATATTTTATCACCAAAATTTTGGTTTTGTGGGAAAGTTTCCAGGAAACGTCTGGCATTTCAATGCCGCTCGCAGCAGCGCACTTCCCAAATCATGGACGGCTTTTGGGGAAAAATATTAACGACGAAAAAATGACATTATATTCGATGAACTGCTAAGCTTGAACATATTTATTTTAGAAAAGAGCTATAAAGAAAAATCATATTAATGAATCACTTAAGTTGTTAATTATTGCTTAGGAAATTCTTTAGAACCCTTTTTAACGTTAAGATAGTAGTTGGTATTGTAATTAATCATGTATAGGATGATTTACAGGAAAAGTATATAATTTGTGTGTGTTTGTTTGTGAACATTTAAAAATTCATTTAAGCGTTTGTTTCACTTTGTGTGTTTTGGTTGCGCAGTCGATGGACCAAAAATAGAATGCTAATTTTCACAAGCATTTTTTAAAATTTAAACCCAGTGTATAGCATTTTGGATATTATTCGTTAAATAATAGTGTAAAATAGGCAAATTCTCTACACAGCTGACGACTTTGTTGCCTAACTTAAATACTAGAGTGAATAGAACACCACATGCTCATGAAAAAAATATGAATTTTTAGGCGAAATTTGGGCAAAAATCCGTTACGTAAGAGATCCAAGGGTAGAAAAAGGTGATCAGTCATCTAATTTAATATTGAAAGGGTTGAAACTCTTCTAAAGGCTTTTAATAATATATATGAACCAAGTTACCAAAAAAATTCTCTGTGATTTGATACTTCATCCTCTCAAAATAGAAGCTACTTAAGGCCACTTGTTTTTATTGTCCAAACAAATCAAAACTATACTAATTTAAATTGATTTTAACTTCAAATGGCAAAAAAATAAATTGTGGAATAAAATTAGGAATTAAAAAAAGTAAAAAACGATTTGGGCACAAAACGCATTGAGCAGACAAACAATCGGGCGCCCCTCCGCCGGTTAACCCGCGGTGCACTCTCCACTTTATCAAAAAGAGGGAAAATGTAAGGAGAAGAAAGGGTTAAAAATAAAAAAATAGCGAAAAAAAGAGCCAGAGAGGGAATAATCGCCCCTCTCTCGGCGCTTTCGGCGGGTTCGGGGGAGCCGGGGTATGTATATGTACGAAAATGATTAAATATTTTCTATGGAAGCCGGCCGAGAGTTTGTTAGAGAGAGGCCCTCTCTTTCTCTCTCTCTCCCTCCAGCGAGCGAGCGCTCGCTTCGGCGGTGACTGGGAAGACAAAAAATTCACTCTGTCGGGTCCGTTCGTTGCATTTCGCGCAGTGTGTGCGGCGGCCGGCGGGAGTTGAGGAGTGGAGCGCAGTCGGTTTTTCGCAGTCAAAGCAAAGCGAGTGCAGCGGCAGCACCACCACCACGCGCGCACCACACCGTGATATATACACAAATCAACATTTGCATATTATACGACAAACCGCAGTGGGATGCGCCGGCCCTGTTAGGACAAAAAACCGACCCCGCCGCCGAGTTCCGGGCGCAATTTCAAGCGTGACCCCGCACACTCCGAAATGCAGCGAAATGCAGTTTGATAGTAGGTCAGCATGTGACGTCACTGCCGAGTGAGGGAGAAAAATGGCGGAATGCTCTTACTCTAGCTGCATCCAAGAAAAACGTGCGATCAAGAGAGAACTGCAGAAATGGACCAAGGACCTCGTCTACCTAGTGGGTGAGTCCGAAATGCAAATGATAATTTTATTGTTCTCCGGCCCTTTTTTCCAAAGCCGGTCCTCACTTTTCCCGCCAAAAAAAAGTGCACATCTAATGAGTTTGGCCTAGTTTTGCACTTTTCTGCGAGTGAGCCCAATTTTTGGGCGCGCGTGTGGGTGCCCCTGCTCCTATACTAACTTGTTGCTCGCCTCTCTCGGGTAGGCAGAGAGCTCAACAAAATGCTCCGTGTGCGAGGCAAAAGCAGAGCTCGGGCTGCCGCAGCCGCATGTGGATATAGGCGGTGCCGCTAAACTGCATAATTTGTGCCAATTTCTAATTAAAACTTCAATCAAACTGACTTTTCAGTGAAGGGCAAGTTCTTCGCAAAAAGTGCATTTTAAATTTTAACAATATTTTCAAAGATTATCACAGATCACATTTTGACCTCCTGACCGTTATTGGTGATCAGATGAAAAAAAATTACAATCTTTTTCAGCCCTTCTCTTTACATCAAACTTTTTGATCTTTGCTCTACCGGAGCTAGCAAATAGATTTCTACTTTTAATTAAATAAAAAACCTTACAGGTGCAGATTGGCGAAAAAAGGTCTCTAAAAGCCCCTCTTACTTTCATGTTTTGTCGACTTGTTGTGAGAGAATTCAATTAAATTTTTTTAACATAATTTTTTATAATAATAATAACAACTCTATTGTTAATTATTTCACTTTATTTTTTTATTTTTTTTTTTCAATTTCAATGGCCCAAATTCCAATGCTTTTCGTCATATTATTTGCTCGTGGAAATTGGGTGTTGCAAGAAAAATTCACGCGCAAAACGGGCGCTGCATGGCTGCACGTCCGTTTGGTGCATCTCGCGTTCTCGGTCGCTCGCCGCTTTTTCTTTTTATTTTTGCAGCGAGCCCTCCTCGCGCGGCGGCACAAGCAGCGCCACCCATCTGTTGTTTTGACTCTCACACTCATGCACGCCGACTTTTCCGCTAATTGGCACAGCAAACTGCACGCTTGTGCATTAACTATTAACTGGCGTACAAGAACGTTCCGTGAAAATCGGATGAGTCTAGTTGTGGACGCTAATTTCCAGTCGGATTCACTTTCGGCTGAAGAAAATATGAAAGTTGGTTTAGCTTTAAAAAAGTGGAATAAATAATTTTTTTAAGTAAAGCCGATTTTGCAGATTTATTTTTTCCAGATTGAAATGAGAGAATAATTGAATAATTTTCAATTCGCTTTAGTTGGATTTACGAACCTGGAATCTTCAGGTAAATTGTTGATTTTTGTTGCGTAATTATATCTGCGCTTAATAATTTTAAAATCTGGTCTGTTCCAATTTGCTTAGATAATCTTAGCGTGAAAATATAATTTAAAAGTTGAGAAATTTTATCAAGTTGGTTTTGGAGTAAAAATTTACTACTCCTGTATGGGAAAAGACAAAAAGTTGTTCTTATTGTTAGAATTTATAAATTGTTAAAAATATTAATTAAAGTTTTAAATTAATTAAATTTTAATTTGCATTATTTTAAATATTGAAGAATTGTACTCACAATCAGATGAGGTATTTTCAATAAACTAAAAAACCAAACTAGTAAAAATTTAATAACTATTATTGACTTAAAAACTGAATATATTTCAATATTCAAGAAAGAAAGAAATATCAACCAGAATTTCTTGAAGAAGTTTTTAATCTGACAATATTTCAAGGTTTGATTCCTCTCGAAAAATTAAAATAATACAAGTTTTTTTAGTCGCTTGGTTCCTTCCTCTAAAAAGTTATTGTTTTCGCCCCAACTGGCTTTAGTTGATAACAAAATTTGTCACGCCACCACGTTTCCTGGATGATAAAAAATATGGCCCTTTCCAAACCAATAAAACTAAGTCAAAATTTCATATCACGTCTGGCGGTCGTTTCTTCGCAAATCACTAAAGTAGAAATCTGGCCAAAGTGTCAAAACCGCACAAATGGAGGTTGTTCGGAGACGGTGGTTTCATTTTTGTCCGTCTTATCTCGCAGCGGGCGGCACTTTCGGGGTTTTCTTAATTTGTCAGCGGAAATTTGCCGATAAAATTAAGCAAGAGCAGACGAATGAATTTCCGGCCGAGGCGCGCTAATGAGAAGTGAGTGGCCGCGAAGGGGGCCAATTTGTTGGACCACGTGCCTTCGATTTGCCAATTCGGCTGAGGAAAAACGACGAGCACCACCACACAGAGAGGCAGCGCAGCCGTTGTCGCCGCCGTCGGTCGCAAAAAAGTCAATAAAATTCGGTGACTAATGAGTGGAGGGGCCGAAAACACAATGGCCTGTGTTTGCTCCATCGCACGTCGAGCCAGCCAGAGAGAAAGAATGACGACAGCACTTGCTTTTCCTCCGCCTGCCAAAAATTACACTCAAAGCAGAGGAGCGGCTCGCGAAGAAATTCGACGTCGACCGTTTGAAATTCAATTATCAGTCGGAAGGTCGAGTTGCTCCTCAGTTTCGAAGCTGCCAAGTCGTGCTGACAAGTCATTTTGCACTTTGCGCAGCTTGATGCAATTTGGAGTTTTAAAAGTGGACGAAAAATCTTAACTTTTAAAATTAGCATCCCAACAGCAAGTTTTATTTGAATAATTTATCATTTTGCCTTTTAAAATGAACAATCAACATATCAAGTTTTGATTAAGGTTAATTCAAGTCAATCATTTAAAACAATAAAATTTTCAATTTTTTTTATAAAATTAACTACTTATTTAATTAATTATTTTAGATGTCAAATTTAAAATGCTTCATAATTGAAATGAAAATTTGTTAAAAGATCCTGCGAATAAATTTTGCAAAAAAATCTTAATGATTTTTTTTATAAAATGTAAAATTGTCTCTAATTCAGCATTATAAAAACACCAATTATCATTATTTTTGTTTTAATTTAAAATTTTTTAGTGCATTGTGTAAGCTTTTATTTTTTAACTTTTTGAAAATGCTCATACTAACAAAGATAACGTCAAGTCTTTAACATTTTCAGTTTTCCTTTTAATTAAAAAGAGTTCTTGACCGACGCTTTTGATTACTCTCTCAAATTTAAAATAACCACGTGTGATAAAATTAACTGTTGCGCACTTTTGACTTTAACCAAACATGTGGTCGCTTGTAGGAAAATGGCCCTCCAGCATTTTATTGTCTTTCCTGGTTCACACACATCCGAAACTCGCGATAAATCTGTACATATTCGTTTAAAAATGCGTCTGGCTCTGCGCCCTGAAATTGCGGTCTGCCCGAAATCCACGTCGTCCGTTTGTATTTTTTATTTTTGATCGACCACGTCCGACTGCATACGTCAGTGGAATTGACGCCGAGTGGCATTAAAAATTGGCGGTTTCCATTTCGTGAATATTGAGGCTCAATAAATGTGTGCCAAGAAGTGGTCTGCGTTTTGAATCGATAAATCGTTTGTGATCAAGCTGAGAGCAATGAATAATTCCCGTTGACACGTGACACGTCTGGCTGGCATTTAAAAGCGGACTTCCATAAATAGACAAAATTAAATTCATTTGTCATTATAAAAGACTAAGAAAAAAATTCTCGAATCAAAACTTAAGCTCATTTTTTTTTAAATATATTTTTGAAATATTTCTACAAATTTCTTAGTTGGTTTTATTTACTTTTTTGATGAATTAATATGATTATGGCGTAAAGTTGCTCATAATAAGAACCCAATCAATTCCTATTTTAAAGTAAATAAAATTTTGCTATTCATTTTAAATTAAATTGTTTTAAAATTGTTTTTTTTTTTTATCTTGAGCCATTCTCGCCACTTTTGATCGACTTGGTTCCCAAGGAGGGCCAGACAGCCTGCTTTTTGTGTGTGTCCAACAACAGAATTCGGCAAATTAAAGCGTTCATTTGGCGCGACCTCACGCGGCGTCAAATGCGATTCCCTCTCCTACTTAGTTGCCAGCGTCGCGAATTTTCCTCTCGCCGGACCAATTTTTGCAGCTGCTGCTGCCAATTCATTTCGGCTGCTCTCGCGATAGCAGTGTCAAACGGAAAGAGATAAAATGGCTATAAATATATTCTCTGTAAATTGATTACGGATTTTGGGTTTTTTGGAATCACCAAAATCATTGGATTTTCCGCTCTAGGGTAATTTTAACAGAGTAAAAACATCGGTCAGATAAGATTTATTGATGAAGTGGCGTTTCCAACTTCAGTAGTTTTCATAATTTCTATCTTACTGTGATTTCATCTATTTCAGTACAATTCATAATTTTTACTTTTCGAAATTTTTATCAAATATTTTCTCCGAATTATATCTCAACCTTAGCCAAAACGTTTCAATCAATAATAAAAAAAATAAAAAAATTATGTAATTGTTGGCATTTTCTCAAACAGTGGGGTTTTAAATATCCCTGATATTTTTTCTTATTAAAAAAAGGTATTAAAAGAGTGAGCGAGAATAAATTTAATTATTTTAAAGAAATCTTTTAATCACTCCTAAAAATACTTAACTTTGTTTGCTACGTTACATTATGTATGTATATAATTGATAATTATTTTTTAGTTTTATTTCAAAATACGGACAACTATGTATAAATATAATGTAACAAAGAATGCAATTAAGTTTAATTATTTTAGAAATTTACTTGTATCTGATGACGATAAAAAATTGAAAAACAAAAACGTGAAGAGTTTAATTCAGTATTTTTACTAGCGGCATTGGCTACATTAACTACTTATCTTTCTTAACTACTATCTTTTTATATGAATTCCACAAATTTAGGAATAAATCCTTGATTAATTCGGAATATTAAATAAATAAAATTCATAAATTTCAAAATTAATTGATAACATTTCATATTTGATATTGATATTGGTCCTTAATTATATCATGTAATTTTTAAAGCAATGCAGTTCAGCAAAATTAGCAATAATTTTGTATTATTTGTAAAACAATTTTATTGTTTCTTATAAATGTTTTAATTATTTCAGCTAACTTTTTAACACCTTTTTAAAAAGAATCCCCAAAAATTAT